CTGCCGTGAGATGGCGTCTTTGGTGGAGCATGGCTGCTGGGGGTCGCCGGAGTCGGATCACAGTCGCAATCTGGTTTTAGAACAGGGCCTGAAAGGACATTAACTGTAATGATGAGAATATTATTTTTACTGTCAATAAATTAATCTCAGACTCATAGACTTCTAAGAAACATTTTAAAGGAGTATAACATTGCATTCAAGTAGACTATTTAGAAGAGTATAACTTTTGAACAGTATGTGACTTACACGTACAGAAAATTCAGAATAAAAAAACATTGCATTTCAATACCATAAGCATACACTGAGAGAATTTATCACTGACTTAATAACATTGTTTATGTATGTACGTATGTATACACAATAGTGATGGAGAAATATTGAGAAAGAAAGTTCAGTAATAGCCTTTGTTCAACTAAATTTTCTCACATTCCATTTCCTTTATTTTTGTGAGGGCCGGCCTAAACAAAAATTTTCAAGGAGGTAGCTAGACAACCTTTATTATTATTATTATTTCTTCATTTTGCAACAAAAGACTTTCTTACAGTGTAAATCCGCGCATTACTGACATATGCATTCAGCAACAAATAATTACCCTCCAAGAAGAAAAAGAAATGACATAAATAGTGAGTCCAGAGTGTGTTTAAAGAGAGAGGCAGAAGTTACGTACCCTCAAGACTCCTACACAACGCTGGGGTAATAAAGCACTGAGAAACAAATGCCAGCAGCAGAAAGCACACAAGCAAACTTCCCTTCCTCTCGCTCTCCATACCTGACCAATCTCAAAATCACAACAAAAGGAACAATAGAAAGAAATAAGAAGAGAGGCAGTGACTGTACTAGCTTCTGCAAGTAAACTGAGGGGGAGTGAGTGCATATAAATACACAGCATATGGGTTGGCGTGGTATGTTGGTTCTCTATGGGGAGTAGTCTATAGGAAAATCATAGTAGTCTATAGAAAAATCATATACGAAAATGGTCAAAATTAAAATTATTTTTGATTGAAACATTAATTTAAAACATATTGAGTGCATTGACACCTAAGTTTGAACTGTTTGATCATATTAATACAGCATTTTTTTGCATATACACTATAACACTGATTGCATTAGTTTAGAATTGATAGTGAGACACATGTCAGCATCTCCTCCTCCCCATATGATTTTATATGGCTAAATTATCAAATTGGTACTTTTAAAACACTCATTTACTAGTTTGATTTTTTTTCATTCGACAACTTATTGGTATTAAAAGTCCATCAAATGTGCAATTAGGCTTTTTTTTATTGCCACCCACAGTAAAATTGGTCGGCAAAATGCATGTGCCTTTATTTGAACACAGCCCTATCAGCATTTCTAACATCCCTCAAATTAAATCACGTGAGGTCACATGCATTTTACTTGTCAATTTTATCGTTGGTGGCAAGAAAAAAATGTCTAATTACACATTTGTACTTTTAATACCAAAAAGTCGCTTGAGAAACAAAAAAAATAAACTATTGAAGGCATTTACGAAAAATACCAATTTGATAATTTAGTCAGTTTTCTATAGAAATCCCTTGCTAACTATGTATCAAACTATAACTCCCAACCTCATCGAAAAGTCAAAGTCCTGAAACTAAAATATATTTAGCCTAATATGTATCAAAGCATATCAGATTCATATCCAAGAAACCACACAATCAATTAAGCGGATTAAAAAAGATATTATTGTTTGAGTTTAGTTTCAGCTCATAAAACTAAGAGCCCTCAACCCCAGGGCGCATGCTCGAATTCTATTAAAACACCTCATCATGTTGGGTAATCTAATAAACATTGG